TTTTTTGCAGTGTGTAATGACGATTTATACAGTATAAACAGCAAATGAGATGTACACAAAATTACTGAAATGAAGTGATGCTGAATTGAAATTTTACTATTGTAAAAATTTATAAATAAATTGTTTATTATACACCGAGAACAGTATAAATAGATGTTAAAACTAAATGATAATCTCAAAATAGCCAAATATCAGATAATTAATCAAAATAATGACTAACCTAATCAGTTTTGTCTCTCCTCTCAGCGTCTGAGCCCAATCTGAAGGTGCGGTCCAGACTCAAGCAGAAGGTTTCTGAGAGACGAAGCGGACCGATACGCCGCAGAGACGGCAGCATCCTCGTTACGCCGCCGAAAAAACGAACTCTCGAGCTAACAGGTGAGCAAACGACCATCTACCTGAAACACAGATAAACAGCCCTTATTTCAGAAAACACAGATCTGCAGCAAACTACTGTATGTGAAGAGATAAAATCTTAGCTAATCAAATCATATTTGATGTTTGAGACACAGACCAATGAGCTTTAACTGTGGGTGGAGTTCACAGTCAGTATTAGAGCTGACCGCTGTAGTCTCTTTAAGCACTTCCTGTTCTCCTCCCCTGTAGATTCTTCAGCCAATGAGAGCCCTGCAGGTTCTGGACCGAGCTCACCCATTGGCTTGTGCAACAATGAGAACGGCGGCGCGTCATACCGGTCCAGCACCACTCAAATCGAGGTACCAAATACGCTCATCTCTCTTCTACGTTTAAACAATTTAAGGGGTTATATACAGTATATGCATTTTATTTTTTTATAATGTTTTTTTTATTAAAAACTAATTGTCATTTAAAATCTTTACCAATATTTACCACTATCCTTCAAACAACTAGGTTTTACCCATTTGTCAGCAAGAAATTCTAATAATTTAAAATAGAATAAAATGTAGTATGATCACTGATTTATATACAGTATTTTAATAAGTAAAGGTCAGAATAAGTACATTGTTTTGTTTTTACATGAGCAATATCACACCAGTAGCAGTGCGACATGGCTGTATATATCGGCACGGCTGTGATTCGGCCGTATGCACGAGGCCGCAGGTAATCACAGCGTGCTGATATACAGCCATAACGCACTGCTACTTGTGTGATATTGCGTTTATACAATAGTTTGATGCCACGAGAGTGTAAATACATAAGAAATAACAATTAAGTGTCTTTAAAAACTTTCTTTTGTGCAGAACTACTTCCTTCCACCACGGATTTAAATCTCAGTTTGACAGTTTAACAGCTGAGCTCAAGATCGTTACTAATTCGTGAACGTTACTTTAGAACTTTAGTAACGAAGGAACGTTGAGTTGCGTCATTAAAAGTTTATTGTATTATGTAGAGTCGAGTACTATGAGAGAGAGACTGACTGAGCGAGTGTGATTACCTGCATCTGATACAGCATTCATTTTTCAGCTCAATCTCATATTCAGAATAAAACATTAGTTTGAATGTCCGCTGAGGAAAGCGATATCTTTGTCGTACTGTCCTTTCATCTGTTAAGGGTGATTTCCGATGACAGTGCTGCTCACTGCAGTTTTATCTGCATCTTACAAGCTGTTGTTGAAAGTAAGCACTTCCTTGTTCACCACCCTGTTTCAGTCTCTTTCAATAGAAAAGTCTTTACTGCGGACTCACTCAGAAAAACAGTCACCTGTCGCCATCTAATGGCAGAACAATGTAACTAAAATCACCATCACGAACACACGCACACGCAATTTAGTTTCCAATACTAAATACTACTATTAAATGCTATTATTTATATACAATATTTTTTTATAATAATTTTTAATAAACAACAGCAACAACAGCCATCATTAAAGTTGCTAGACAATTCAGTCAAAAGTACAAAGGCTGCGCTCTGATATACAGCATTGAAGTTTCATAAAATATAACGTTAAGAGATTTTGCCCTCAGCCAAAACGATTTGCTCTGGAACAAATAATAGATTAATGAGTCCAAAGACTGCCCTTGAGATTTACCCAAAACGAATTATATCTCATGTTTAACCACTATAGAGACATCAGAGCCAGCGGCTCTCGCAGGGTTCATGAGCGCTGAACGCCGCTGACGCCCTGGAGCTCACATCTTGAAAACATCGAAGCAAATTTTCAAATATACGTTATCTTTATTAACAAACCGCATATTAGTCTAAACAAGCACATTCTCACCTAAAATAAACTTAAATCTACATTCTGTGACACAAAAACAGTATTTTTATTAAATTATAGTGGATTTGGGCGTCCGCCATGATTCTCACTGTGAAAAATACCGCAAGCGGAGCGATACAAACGGTGAAACGGTTGGAGTTCTGTTATCACTAGAATATCGCACTCCTGGAAAAGGCTCTCAGCCAATCAAATTCAAGGACCAGAAAGATGGCTGATTGATGATGGAACATTATTTCACCCATATTTTGACATTTCTCGCAGGGTTCATGAGCGCTGAACGCCGCTGACGCCCTGGAGCTCACATCTTGAAAACATCGAAGCAAATTTTCAAATATACGTTATCTTTATTAACAAACCGCATATTAGTCTAAACAAGCACATTCTCACCTAAAAATAAACTTAAATCTACATTCCGTGACACAAAAACAGTATTTTTATTAAATTATAGTGGATTTGGGCGTCCGCCATGATTCTCACTGTGAGAAATACCGCAAGCGGAGCGATACAAACGGTGAAACGGTTGGAGTTCTGTTATCACTAGAATATCGCACTCCTGGAAAAGGCTCTCAGCCAATCAAATTCAAGGACCAGAAAGATGGCTGATTGATGATGGAACATTATTTCACCCATATTTTGACATTTTATTTTCACAAAAGTTAGTTGAAACATTAAAGCAGACACTTTTCTTGCATTTAATAGGCTTTCTATGTGTATACATTTTTTTCTTTTGTAAACTTAATTATATATATATATATAATGCTCATATATACACAAAAATTAAATGAGCGATTTTTGCCATTGTACAAAACTTCTATATAGCTTATTTTATGACTAACCATTTCACATGAGAAATGACTAACTTGTGGGCTACAAGTATTAATAAAAATGTCTGAATGTCATGACATTGGATTACAAAATCTTAAAGCAAGTGACAATTCAGCAAACAAGTATTGCATAAGCATTTCTCAGAACTCACTTGTTTTTCTGAGCCATTTTTGCAGTGGCTTTTAATGAACTGTTTTTTGTGAAATATTTTGCTTGTAAAGTGGGTTTGTGCTATTCTTCAAAATAAATGTCCTCTTTTAACAAACTCTCTTTAAGCAGACAGGTTAGTAGCCTTCAGCACATAAAGGCAGCTGTGGAACAGAGTTTCATACACTTGTGTGCAGTTTTGAACCTTTGATTGCATTCTTGAGAACTGAAGCATACAGCTCACAAAACTGGAACTAAATAAAATGGTCATGGTCCCACGTCTCATTACTCTTATCAGACTATGGGGTGAAGGAGTCGGGACCCCAATGATCCATTGTTTGGAGCTGAGAGTACACAGACCCCGTCCCAGGGCGCTCGTACCATCAGCCTGACAAACAAACACTGCATTTAAAATCACATTAGAACATCATTGCAGCATGTGGAAGAGTTAGATGGAGTTTGAAGTGTGTGTGTGTGTGTGTGTGTGTGTGTGTGCGCGTGTGTGTGTGTGTGTGCGTGCGTGTGTACGGCGGTGCTGTGCTGAACTAACTGTGACAGCTCTTTTCCGCTGTGGTTTTGGCTGTGCTGGTGGTTGTGGAAGGGGGTGAGGGGCTCTGGGATGGTGAGGTTTGTTTCTCCTGTGAAGTTCTGCCCAAGCATTTCCTCACGGGCCATGGGCCAGAACTCACCTCTCCTCTCCTCCTGTTGGCACACGGCCGACTGAGTTCATCCTTACAGCCCTACAGCCAGTCGTGTGTGTGAGCGTGAAACTTCCCTGCTTCATGAGCTTCAAAACTATGACCTAAAGATGACCTCATGTCATTAACACTCACACCATTAACTGATACTGACTGACATGGTGCATCATAACTACCTAAAACTCTCTAGAAACCACCTAAAATCTACATTCAGAACACTCTAGCACTCTAGCACTCTAGCAACCATTCAGAACTGAACTGCAACACAATAGAAAACCACTGACAACACCGTAGCAGCCACATAGAACACTGTAAGAGCTACCTGGCAACACCCTAGCAACCACTAAAGAACATTCAGAACACTCTAGCAAACACCCAGAACTACACAGCAACGCACAAAAACCATTCACAACATCCTAGCAGCCAATAGAACACTATAACAACCACCTGGCAACACTCTAGCAACCACGTAGAACACTATAATAGCTACCTGGCAAAACCCTAGCAACCATTCAGAACACCCTATAAACACCCAGAACTACATAGCAACACACAAAACATTCACAACATCCTAGTAACCAATAGAGCACTATAACAACCACCTGGCAACACCCTAGAAACCACATAGAACACTATAACAACCACGTAGAACACTATAATAGCTACCTGGCAACACTCTAGCAACCACTCAGAACACCCTATAAACATCCAGAACTACATAGCAACACACATAAAACATTCACAACATCCTAGCAACCAATAGAACACTATAACAACCACCTGGCAACACCCTAGAAACCACATAGAACACTATAACAACCACGTAGAACACTATAATAGCTACCTGGCAACACTCTAGCAACCACTCAGAACACCCTATAAACATCCAGAACTACATAGCAACACACATAAAACATTCACAACATCCTAGCAACCAATAGAACACTATAACAACCACCTAGCAACACCCTAGCAACCACGTAGAACACTATAACAACCACCTGGCAACACCCTAGCAACCACTGGCAAACATTCATTACACCCTAGCAACCACCCAGCAACACACAAAATCCAATCACAATGCCAAAGTAGCCACATAAAACACTATAACAACCACCTGGCAACACCCTAGCAACCACGTAGAACACTATAACAGCTACCTGGCAACACCCTAGCAACCACTAGAGAACATTCAGAACACCCTAGTAAACACCCAGAACTACATAGCAACACACATAAAACATTCACAACATCCTAGCAACCAATAGAACACTATAACAACCACCTAGCAACACCCTAGCAACCACGTAGAACACTATAACAACCACCTGGCAACACCCTAGCAACCACTGGCAAACATTCATTACACCCTAGCAACCACCCAGCAACACACAAAATCCAATCACAATGCCAAAGTAGCCACATAAAACACTATAACAACCACCTGGCAACACCCTAGCAACCACAAGAGAACATTCAGAACACCCTAGCAACCACCCAGAACCAGACATACACAGCATTACATTATAAACCATTCATAGCATCACCACACAGAACACCATAGTAACCATCAGGCAACATCCTAGCAACCACTCAAGAATATTTAGAACACCCTAGCAACCACCCAGAACTACATAGCAACACATGAAAACCGTTAAGAACACTCTAGAACCATACAGAACACTATTACATCCACCTGGCAACACCCTAGCAAATACTGGAGAACATTCAGAACACCCTAGCACACTAAAAATCATTTACAACACCCACATAAAACACCCTAGCAACCACCTACCAACCACTAGAGAACACCCTAGCAACTAGACTAACTTCATAGCAACACACTAAAACATTTATAATATGCTAGCAACCACCTAGGACACCCTTGCAACTGCATAGCAATACTGTAGAAAACATAAAGCGTTAGAGGGCTAAAGTGAAAATCCCATTGGTCCAAAATCCCATTCCTTAAAGTTATATACTTTAATAAAACGTAGAATGCATTCTGGCTGTGATTTTGTCACATCATGCCTGGTTAAAGGGCACACACACATACACAGATTGACTGCTGCAGTGAGGAAGTTCATATGTCATTATCTAATTCTGTCCCTCCGAATGCTTATGCGAGGTTACGTCATTGATATGGGAGATCTACTGGTTCTCCTTCTTCAGATGTTCTCGATCTCATGCTGTACTGTTGTTGCTGTGCTTGTGTTCTGCTGCATTATGTAAGAGCTTATGTAATGCTTTCTGTCTGTCTCTCCTCCAGCGTTGTCTGTCTCAGAGGGGCGTACTACAGACGGAGGGGTCCATGTCCCTGTTGAATCTCTACACCTCCCCCTCTCTGCCAAACCTCACGCTGGCTCTGCACCCTGCTCACGCACACATCTGCGTAGGTTCCTGTCCATCACAGACACCTCAAACTCTACAAAGACACAAAGACCTAGAAATGCATGTTTTATATAATGTGGTTCTGAACTAAATTATGGCCGGCACACACCAAGGCAATGTCAAAGAACAAGCAGCGACGAAAGCCAACTGTTTTGTCGCCTTGCAACGGACCTTTCGGCCACCTGAGAAAAAACATTTCTTTATACTAGACCTGTACAACTCGCATACAAAAAGTGTGTACCTTTTAACTTTAATGTGCTATTAATATTTGATTTGACCCTTGATGTAACTAAATTATGCACATTTTAGGTTACCCGAGAAAACATTTTTACAGTGCTGTTACCTATTATTTTCTATTAAAAATAATAAAAAAACTGTCACACACAATATAATATAATGTAATATAACATAATATAATATAAGCAACCACCCTAGCAACCACTAGAGAACATTCATCACACCCTGGCAACCACTGGAGAGCATTCACAACACCCTAGCAACCACTAGAGGAAATTCACAACACCCTAGCAACCACTAGAGAACATTCATCACAACCTAGCAACCACTAGAGAACATTCACAACACCCTAGCAACCACTAGAGAACATTCATCACACCCTAGCAACCACTAGAGAACATTCACAACACCCTAGCAACCACTAGAGAACATTCACAACACCCTAGCAACCACTAGAGAACATTCACAACACCCTAGCAACCACTAGAGAACATTCACAACATCCTAGCAACCACTAGAGAACATTCACAACACCCTAGCAACCACTAGATAATATTCCAACACCCTAGCAACCACTAGAGAACATTCATCACACCCTAGCAAACATCCAGAGCTGCACAGCAAAACAGTAAAAACATTCAATGCGCTCAGAGTTGACCAGATACAAAAGTCTGCAATGAAAAGTCAAAGACCTCACTTGAGCTCAAACATTTCTCATCAAATACTGTAACCTGTTGCCTTCCACATGCATTTTATAGCTCTATACTCTTACTGTATGACAACTTTCAGCTTGTTCAAGAGGAGAAAAATCTGGAGACAAGGTCTCATGCGCTTTGAAAGAGCAACCTCTGAGAAATATGAGGCCTAAAGACAAAAGCAGCATCGCCGGCTCTCGTTCTGCTGCGCAACAGATATGAATAGATCCTGCAGAAAAAGCAAGGTATTTTTAGGAGACAGTCAGACATGGAGTCGCATCTATTTGTGGTGAAAGCACAAAATACTGTATGAGGAATGTGCCACGCGCGTTAGGAGACAGAGATGAGACGATCCTCTTTATAGAGCGCAGAGATGAGCCGTGTTTTTACAGAGATGAGGGTTTGAGCTGCTGTTTGCGGAGGGTTTAGGAGCACATCTCATTTTCTGCTTTCACTGAGTGCTTGTGTGGATTAATGGGGCCCGTGACCTCTGACCCGTGGGATCTTTAGCCCTTAGGTAAACAGGCCCTCGGTTTAGGGTTTCAGGGTGTGAGTTTAGCATCTCGTTCATCACAGGCTTTTTAAAAGTTTAAGAAATGGTGTCGGGAAAGCGCGTTAACATGCCAGCAAATCAAAACATGGATCACTTTTACCAAATACTTTCAACACTTCCAAATTTTAAAATAGCTGAATGACTCACTAGGGAGCTCTAAATGTGGATTGATAATTATGTGCACTTTATGGACGACGCCGGGGCACAAACGCTGACTGGATGCGTTTTAAAACAGCACAGTTATTAATATTTCATATGCTGGTGTTATGTAAGTCTCTCTCATGCTTGAGTGAAAATTTGTCTAAATGCAAAAATAGGAAAACGTTGAATATTAATAGTGTTTGTGCAATCTGTCTGTTTCAGACGGGAACGGCGCTGAAGGATCGGAGCACAGAAGGTCTCGCGGCCGCCGCAACTCCCGTCTCGATGGAGGCTAAAGTGAGCAACGGGCAGCAGGCGCTCCTGCAACACCTCCTGCTGAAGGAGCAGAGACAGCAGAGGATGATGTCCCCTGGTGAGCAGAGCGCACAGGAAGTACATGCTCTTAAAGTGACAGCGCAACAGTATTATAGTTAACTAAAACTAAAATAAAAAAAACAATTACTTGAAATAAAATAAACATTAAATGTAATAAAATATAAAAAATCTTAAACTTTTTTTAAATTCAGTTAGTCGCCAAGGCAACATTTCTCATTTTTGTTTAGTTTAATTTTAAGTACTAAAATAATTAAAACATGATAAATTTGAGGTGGATTTGTAGTGCCAAAAAATTGCGTTTTAACTGCATTCAATGAAAATAAATAAATATATATAATACAAAGTAAAACAACAATGGTGCAAAATGGAGTGGACTAGAAACAATAAAATAAAATTTAAAAAAATAATAAAATTTAAATAAAATTAAATAAACAGTGCAAGGTAAACTAAGAATTTAACAAACTCAATAAATACATATATACTAAATAAATACAACTAAATAATAAATAAATAAACTAAATAAATGACTGAAGTAACATTAACAGCAGTAACAGCAGCATTAAAATATAGTAAAAAATAAACAAAGTAAACCATAAACAATTTAATTAAATTAAAAAATTTCACAAATTGAAAAATTGCTATATGTTATTGATATATCATTATTATATATTATTTATATATTATAAAAAATAATATATTAGTGATAGTAAAATAATACTGCAGCAGACCTTCTCATCTTCCCAAATCAATTAAGTATAATTAACAATGAATAAATGAACTCTCTATATTTTCATTTTCTATTTCATAACCTATTCTTTATCTAAAATTCGGTTTAGTGTGCTGTATGATTTTATGTAGATTCTTAACTGCGTTTAATAAAGAAAGAAAAAAAAAACAATAATTAATACAAAGTGCATCTAATGTGCATATTACAGTGGTGCAAAATGGAGTGAATTGCTAACTATAAAAAGTTAAATAAAATAAATAAAATATAAAAACAGTGCAAACTAGGAATTTAAAAACTTTATAAATAAATACCATAAGTACCATTACCATAATAGTAGCATTAAAATACAATAAAGTAATAATTTTTTTAAAATTAATATAATATAATATTTTTTTGTGATTTTAACAGATTTAATATTTACACTTGCATTCAAACATTAAATATTTTATTTATGTGTTGTATTTTTAATTTAATGTTTTTTTTATTATTATTATTAATTTCTTTTATTTTTGACCCGTCCTGTGTGAAAGTCAGATGTGTGATTGATATGTTTCTCTCTCTCTCTCTCAGTCACAGCTAGTGTTCCTGTGCTGTCCTCGTCTCCTCTGGTGATGAAGGAGCGTCCGTCTGTGAGTTCTCGCAGCAGGTTACCGCGGCACCGACCCCTGAACCGGACGCAGTCGGCGCCGCTGCCTCAGAGCACACTGGCTCAGCTCGTGCTGCAGCAACAGCACCACAACTTCATGGAGAAACACAAACAGCTTCAGCAGCACGTCCACATCAGCCAGGTATCTCACCTCACTCGTCAGCACACAGCTCCACCAAGAAAATCTAAAGATTGGGTCTTTATTTGATGTAAAACTTGAATTAAATTAAACTGGTGAAACTTTGAAAGAAGAATGAAGAAATAAAGAAAGGAAGGAAGGGCTGAATCTCATGCAACTTGACAAAAATGTCCAGGAAATGAAAATATTTTGGCTTAAAGAAAATAAATCCTTAAGATTTTCTTTTTTACATTATGACAATCATTTTTGCAATTCTTAATTACAATTTTTAAAAGTTTAAAACAACTTGAAAAACAAAACGTTCAGACTCATTATAAGACATTATAATAGTTGGAAGGGAATTACGGTAATATTTGATTTTGTTTTATTGTGGACGATTGGAAAGTGAGTCAATCCCCACAGGATGTTTTACTGGGTGGGACTTTTAACACGTTTAACATTTAGACTTGCATTCAAACATTCAGGATTTTTATTTTAAACAAAGTTTGGGCCTTTAAAAGTACTAAAACATCACAAATTCCGAGGATACACTTCATTTTCTAAAAGCAGTAAGCACTGACTGCTTTCCATTCAGGATCATTTAATGGACAGTGCATCAATGAAACAAAAAAGGACTGTCATGATTAATCACCTTGTGATAGATTTACAGTACGTATCTGAAATACACCAAAAAAAGAGCGTTTAAGAGAGTTTGCTTAACAGCGATACAGCGACACAAACACAATCTGGGTTGCGTGAGAGCAACTTCAACAGACTGTGTCTGAAAATGAGAGTTAGAAATTCCTTTTAACATCATGATCCCTGAACGTGTTTGTATAATTCCCACACTGCACGCAGAGAGCGATGACATGATGATCGATGGATTGATGATACATAAATGTGCCTTTCAGAACTGCAGCGTTTCAGAGTGTGGACGTTGTGTGTGTGTATAAGTGTGTGTGTGACTAGTGTATCCTGCAGTGTGGTCCTCATAAGAGTTTTAAAGGGCTCTTTTCTCTTAAATGACGGTGTAAACTGATCTGACTGATGCCTTGTTGAGACAGGAAGTGAGTTAATACAAGGAGAGGAAGTGAGTAAATCCCAGCAGGACGTTTTACTGCGGCTGCTTTTAACTGCTCTTTTACACTCGCATTCAAACAAGCTAAATTGTCTTTTATTTTCTATATATTTAATTTCATATTTGAATTTTTTATTTGAGTTTTTATTTGAATAGTTACAATTTAATTTTGGAAAATGCTACAGTTTTCATTACTAAATCTGACTAAACTGGGCAGTTTTTTTTTTCATTCAATGCCCCATACACCTCGTTTTTTCCTTCTAATAACACTTTGCTTTCTTCCTCCGTTCAGTATTACTTTCTCTCTCTCGCTCGCTCTCTCTTTCATTTCCTGAAGGTCTAGTAGAGGATTTTGCAGGCAGACGCTGGCAGCACTTTAACACACACATGCATCAGTGTATATCATTTATCCACTTTTTATATCACCTAGACCTTTCACAGCTGCTGTTTTTTTGGGCTTTTGGTATTATTTTACACTTTTACAGGAGGACTGAGGCCAGAGCGGGTGGCGTGTTCGGGAGAGAGACAGATTTAATGAGCCACTTTAACAAGAAGATACCAAAAAGAATGAAAGATCATGTTAATGTGTCACTTATAATTAATTATGACACATAACTGAACTCAATGCAGTTAATGCTGGGAAAAAAATAGAGTGCAATAGTGAAAATCAAAAAGTACTTTTCCAAAACATTTTCTCCATATGAATCAAACAAATAAGTTAGAAAATCTAAAAATAAATTAATGAATAAATGAGTGCAAAGTAAATTGAACAAATTTTGTAAATAAATAACAGATGTAGCATTACAGTAATAGTAACCAAACTTGTCAAAAATATGTTCAGGTCATATTTAAATAAATAAATTATATATAAATAAATACATTTAATTTGTAATATTAAATAAATTAATTAATTAATGGATATTTCAATATCCAAATTGAAATAATTAATAATTATTAATATTTAAAACAATTCCATAAATACAATTCTGTATTTATACAAAAAATGATAATAAAAAAATATAAATGATAATAAATAATATTCACTGTGATACTGGAAAGTTGGAAGGCAATTACTCACTGTAATATAGTAAAAAATTACTAAATTAGCTTTTTATTTAAGCATAAATCAAAGGCAGATATTTTGAAAAAAATTAAATAAAAATAGGTGCAAAGTAAATTTAACAAACTTTATGCATAAATGACAGAAGTAAGCATTACAGTAATAGCATTAAAATAATTTATAATAAATATTATTAATTATTATGATTACAAATTATTAATATATGATTATAGCTATTATATATGTACACATTGCTATTATTATTATTATAAATTTCGAAAGATCATGTTAATGTGCCACTTCTAATTAAATATATTACACATAACTGAACTTAATGCCGTTAAAGCTGGAATAACAATACAGCGCAATTGTGACGCCAAAATAACTTTCCAAAGTTATCATTACTTTCCAAATCATTTTCTTCATATGAACCAAACAAAAAAACTATTGGGTTTTAAAAAGTCAGAAAATCAAAAAAAACAAAACAAAACAAAAAAAAACTACTGTGTATTTATTGCAATGAGCTATCATCCCATGAAGCTTTGCGAGTAATGGAATCGAATCAGCCATGATGATATAAACTATAAAACGCCTTACTTCTCTCTCTTTCTCTCTCGTGTTTGTTCTGTAGGTTCTGTCTCAGTCCATCGAGCAGCTGAGGAACCCCAGAACCCATCTGGAGGAGGAGGAGGAGGAGGAGGAGGAGGAGGAAGAGGGAGCAACTGCGGAGATCACGCCGCCCCCTGCTGGAGTCATACGCACACACAGCGACCCCGAGGCCGCCCACACCAGAGTCATCCGGCTGAAAACCGAGCTTGAGGATGGGCAGAGAGAGGAAGAGAGACGGGACGTGAGAGAGGAGGACATGGGGAGAGATACAGGTGAAGAACAGGACGAGATTTCAGCACAGATGAAGAGAAGCCACGCCAAACACTGTCTGGAAAATATGACGGAAACTGATGTTTGAAAAAGAGAAAGAAATGAGCAAAGGAAGGACTGAATCTCATGAAACTTAAAAAAATGCCCAAGTCACACACTCACACACACACACACACATACACACACACACACACACACACACACACACACACACACACACACACACACACACACATATATATATACA